TTACTGTGACTTTGTAGTAGAGCTTGAAGTTGAGGAGCGAGACCCCCCCCCACTTTATTATTCCTTCTCAAGATTGCTTTGGCTATTCAGGGTCTTTTGTGGTTCCATATGAATTTTTGAACTATTTGTTGCAGTCCATTGAAGAATACTGTTGGTGTTTTGATAGGGATTGCATTCAATCTGTAGATTGCTTTAAGCAGGATGGCCATTTTGACAATATTAATTCTTCCTACGCAAGAGCATGGGATGAGTTTCCATTTGTTAGTGTCCTGTTTAATTTCTCTTAAGAGTGTCTTGTAGTTTTCAGGGTATAGGTCTTTCACTTCCTTGGTTAGGTTTATTCCTAGGTATTTTATTCTCTTTTTGATGCAATTGTGAATGGAATTGTTTTCCTGATTTCTCTTTCTGATAGCTCATCATTAGTGTATAGGAAAGGCACAGGTTTCTGCGTATTAATTTTGTATCCTGCAACTTTGCTGAATTCTGATATTAGTTCTAGTAGTTTTGGAGTGGAGTTTTTAGGGTTTTTTATGTACAATATGATGTCATCTGAAAATAGTGACAGTTTGACTTCTTTACCAATCTGATGCCTTGTATTTCTTTGTTTTGTCTGGTTGCCGTGGCTAGGGCATGTATTAATTTTTATGATAAATATTTAAGTTGTCACATTTCAAAGGACTTTTTGAAATTACTCTTAGACTCATTCTACCAGCAAAAGGTTTAATAAGTTAAGCACGTAGAAATTCTCTTGCTTTTGCTAAGGTATGATGTTTGTTTTTTAAATAAGTACAGGTTATTTTTTAAAAATAGGAACAGAAATTTCCTAGGTATTTCTAGCAAAATATTGAGCCTTAAGTGGAACACATAGCAATCAAGTCAGCAGGGTATTAGGTCTCAAATCCTGCTGTCTGAGCTGAGAATATGTCTATTCATCATTCTTTCTTAGACAATTGTGCTCCAGAATAAGGTCATCTATTTTTCTTCCCTACTCCAGGACCAGTTCATTCATATTCATATTCATTGGTGGTTTTCATTTCATCTACCTGTTAATCTTCTTTGCAAATCTTCCATGTGTCAGGGCCTAAGTTGTAGTTTTCCTACTTGATTTGGTTTAATATCTAAGGCCTCTTAAATTGCTTGGAAAAGGTCTCTTCCAGAGGGGAATATCACTTACATCAACATGTACTGGAATTGAACCCAGAAAAATAAAGTGTTGATGGGATGGGATGAGAGGGTTTAAGGTGAATATTTTTTCCTTGATCTACATGTGTTGTATAATAAAAAAGAAACCTTAATCTTATTCAGAATGCTTCTATTTTTAATCTAAGAATTATACTGAATGATAAAAACCACTTTCTTCTTTTAATACCCCAGGAAGATCCATTGCTCAAAATAAGATGGGGTTCAAAGACACATCACCAAGTTTCTTCCTGTGGTTATGGTACGTGACTCTTTAAAAATCTTTAAGAAAAAAAAATCATCCTAGTGTTACTCTTGGGGTAAGATTTAAGAGAGTCAATCCATCAGATGTTCTTTTGACAGAGTGGACCCAAAGGCATTTCTTGAGGGAAATATTGACTCACTTGTAGGAATTGCTGACTTTGCCTTTATGTACAGGTGGTATGCCCTACCACTGAAGTCAGAATCTGTGATCAGAATCCTAATTTCCATATTAGGGATCAGTCTTACTTTATAAACCTTTCCTTAGTTGAAGTCTGTAACCTATGGGTCCATATTTAAGCAGCAAGTCAAAATAGGAACACTCTTGGCCATCTTCAGAGAACATAACCTCAAAAGGTTAGCTCTTCATCTTCTTTCAATTGATAGCTTAGATAATTATTATTTATGGAAGATAATTTGAAGGATATATGTCTCTTCTCTCTTCCAGCTACCTACTCTGAATTCTTTCCTTCTATCAAGTTGAGTATCAAAAGCCTATACTGCCCCAGTCCATTGCAGAATTGCTATCACTAAGTTGGCTTTTAATATTATGCCTTTGGGTTAAAGTTGCTATGAAGAAATTACAATTTTTTTTAAATGTGGTTAATTTTTGAAGACATTGTTTAATAAAATCTACTTTTTGTAAAATATCCTTGGGATCCAATTTTGGAATAGCTCTGCTTTGCCTTAGGATCTGGCACGCTGAATATAATGAAAATCTTGTATCTGATGATGTCTTATTTTTCCCCTTGGCTACTACGAAGCTCAGAGCTAAAAATACACACACATACACACATGTATATGGATACATATGTAAATAAATAAATGTTTAATGTTCTTTAATTTCAATTCCCTATTTAGTATTATACCCTTTCTTTCTATATAAATGATACAATATTATCTTTTAAAAAATTCCTTAATCACCTCATAAATAATTCCCTACAGAACTTCCCTCTTCTTTTTGATGTTTCTCCTTTGCCTATAAGTCAGATTCTGTCTGGCAACCAAGGCCACAGTATAGCCAAACTGACCAAGAGTACTGACAGTTTTTAATACTCTGATTACAAAATAAGAACTAGATCATCAGTGCTGAATGCAATTGCCACAAAATTCTCTGTGGTTGAAGAATACCCAGGCTAACTGGTCCCAGAAATAATGTGAATGCAACTAGACTTTTTATGTTGCAAATAGTTATGCTTCAAGATGCAGGACTTGGCAATGGCAGTTTCCTGCAGGAACAAGGAAGGTTAAGAGAAAGAACTAACCTTTTGAAGCCCACCTGGTGCTAGGGTACTGTTAGCTTTTTGCTATTTCCAGTGGTACACTGGAGCTGGCTCTTACGCACTCATGAGAGCCAGTTGTTAAAATTTCATGAGTTTTGTGAGCCATGTTGATAGCTTAAAATAGGCCATTGTGGGAGTATTTATACCTGCAAATTGCCAAATGCCCACAGATCAGCCCCTCCATCCCTAGAGAGCTAGCTGGTTGTTAGACACCACCACTGCTTATCTGGCTTATTGCTCACAACTAGCAATAAAATAGGTCTTTCAGTCCTCATTCTATAAATGAGGAAACAGACCCCCCAAAAAGGGGAAATTGTCAAGCTTTAGTGAGAAATTACAGGGACACCAAAAAGAAAATGAAACAGAAAGAAAACTGCCAAAGCACGAATAGGTACAGGTACAGTGCTGACCCTAAGGGGCTATACTCAGAGAAGAAAGATCCTATTCAGAGGAAGTCAACAAGCTAATCTAAGGAGATTGCCAGACTGAGGTTCAGAAGACTGTGAGGAGAACAATTCAATGAGGGACTAAGGAACCAAACAGAAAGTCTTCTAGGGGAAGCTGAAGGTTCCTCTCCTTACCTTGGTTTAAGGAATCATGTTCAAAAGCAAGAAATTCCACCAACCCCAACCCAAAATAGAAAGGTTTGCTCAAGATTGAAGGCAAGAATTAGGCCATGTTCCCCAGGAGGCAAAGTTTTCAGAAAAGCTAAAAAGTCTACATACAACAGTATATTCCTTTTCCCTCAGATGTACTTCCTAGCAGTGGCTGGAATGGGAAGGAGGGCTCTTGGCTGTCCCCAGCATCCTCCCTCCCTCCCTTTTGTGGCACCCTCCTTTCTCCTTCCAGCAGTTGGAGCCAAGACAAGGGCCTTGGCCTAAAGAAGCCCAACATGAGTATCCAGTACTAGCTCAGCTATAGGTTCTAGTTCGTTCTGAATTTGGGTTTAGAGCCAATTGATAACCAAGTATAACTCTGCCAGTCATTGTCCTATCATGTATTTCCCTCAGGAACCTTCAGGAAAAGGGAAACTGTGGTCTAGGCCATGTTTAAGGTAAGCCTGAATCCACAGTATTGCCCATTGCTGTTTTCCCAGAGACCAAGGGAATGAGGAGCTCATATTGTTCACAAGTGACAAAGCCAGGATTTAAATCAGGTATAATTGCTACAGGGCCTGTGCTCTCTTCAGAAAGCTCTTTCTGTGCTATTGTGGGCTGTGTCTGGAGACCTTGGGAGAATTCTCCTGCTGGGATCCTGGAGGGGAATGAACCTCCCTTTCACATGCTGAAAAAGGTAGAAAGAGCATGAAGGCAGACAAAGCCCTTGTTTTTTTGAATGATATCTTAAGTGATTAAGTGAGATAATGTATATATAGTGCTTAGTCAATAACTGGCATTTGACTGATGGTATTTAATTTTGCTGTATACTACTAACTAGGATCAAAATAATGGTTGGTCTCTAGGATTGAAATACGAAATTTGAATAATGAGTAGATCAAGGATCTAATTAATATCTTCTCAAATATTATATCTTATTCTGGAGTAATTTAGAAAAGAAGAAACTTAGGTGTGGGATTCAAACTGTCCCTCAACTTTCCCCACCTCTTCAAAGTGAAAATGATGCTATCTTCAGTGTTTCCTTGGGATTTCCTGAGTTTCTAGCTGAAACACCTAACTGCTGCTTCTCATTCTTCTGAAATCTGAGAAGCCATGTATGGCAGATCTTAATGGGTACCCACCCAACAGCCAGCCCCCTCCTTCTGACTCATAGATTGTTGATTTTACCCAGGTAGAGGAAAGTGATGTGCTCAAGAAAGTCTCCCCAAATCCAGGGGATAAATGGTGTCTAGTCTAAACTAATCATGGTAATCCATTCCCCTTTATCACAGATTGGTTTAGAGATGTACATTTCACCAAATTCTGGCCAATAGCATCTGAAAGATGTTTGTTGGCACTTCTGCAAAACTGGACAGATATATTCAAGAGACTCGTCTTTCTTTCCTGCTTTGTCTTTTTGCATGTGAAGATAAAATGCGTAGAGAAGTAGCTGCCGTCTTAAGCATCACAAAAAGGCCAATGAGATAATGGAAAATCTGATCCCAAATCCTGACATTGTTAAGCCAAAGAACTAACTGAATTATCTACCTCAAGGCTTATTATCATATAAGAGAAAAATAAATTCTATTATTTAAACCATTTGTAGGCACATATTCTGTAACTTGCAGCCAAAAATCATCCTAACCAGTACACCTTATCATTTCATAAACTTACCCCAAAATCCCCTTGGAGTGGTGGCAAGAATATCCCATTGAAGGAACAGTGGGAGTAAGGGCAGTAACTGGTGTTGAAAAGTTGAAGGATGCTTTCCTGGCATCGCTGAAAATTACCAGTGCCCTGGATTTGAAACTGCTGGAATGGAAGTATCATCTCAAATCTCTTGGTGCAGGGGCCCTCATAAAGGTCACTTACATTCATTACAGTTGTGTATCCAGGGTGGAAACATGGATCACTGAGCGTTCCATTTGTACCCTGAATGGAAAAATCACTCGAAGTCATCATGTGTGAATGCTTTGGGTACAAAAACACCAGTTCATTCATGTGTAGGAATTACACAACAACTCAACACTCAGAATTGTCATCAGTATGCCCCTGCCCTGGCTTTTTCACCCTTGGGAATACTCATATTTGTGTGACAGGCACCTGAAGTGGTATCACATATAAATTAACTTTTGCTATTCATAGCAAGTTCATAAAGTTAGAGCTGGGCCCAGAAATACCATTAGTCCGAATATTCCCTAGTGTTTAGTACAAATAATGTAGGTCAGAAACAAATTCACAAGGAAAACTTTCAACTCTGAGCCTGCAGTAGTTCTCCAGGACTCTGCCTACACCCCACCCCCATCTCCAAGCAAAAATCAGAAGCTCCAAGAGCTGCAAATGTCTTAGATCATTTAAGCCAGGAGTATCAAAATTATTCTTAACCCACATCTCAATATGTTCAAGAGAAGAAAGGGGGCTACTGTTGATAAGAGGTTTAATGGATCCTTGGGTTCAGCAGACATCTCTCAACAACCCGTAGTCCAATGAGAGTCATTGATAGTATTTTTGAGAGCGAAAGAGAGAACTCTAGATGTGAGCAGAAAACTGGTTGTACTTTTCAGTGGAGACAGGGAACATCTGGAAGTGACATCCTTGCGCTGTGTTTACTTGTCAGGGTGTTCCTGGAACTGGTATGATTTTGAGTAAGTTTAACTTTTCTTGCTCTCAACAGAAAGCATCTGGGGATAAGATTTGAAGTGTTGATTGATAAGATAACCTTTGTGTTTTCCCTGAAGTGTTTCTTTCTCCTCTCCAGGAAGAGAACAACCTGACAACCCTGTTTTCTGAAGTTTGTAAGAAATGGGGATTTAAAAGTGGTGTTTTATAAATTGTACACACCTCCCCCAGCAATACCCTAGCATGTAATTTCTATTAACCCCACAATCCAGGGGTAAGAAAGTTCCCAAGAAAGGATTTGAGTCATGTCCTTGGAGATAATGCAGTAAACAAACATAGGAGGTGATGTCTGGATGGAGCAATTCACAGAGGTTGACCAGATGTAGTTAAGATATACTGCCTGCAAAGGTTTGGAAAGTACAGTATCCAAGTTCAGACCAATTACTGAAATAAAGAAAACAACAGGATGTGGGTCTGGCAGCCCACATGTGAGGTGGGTGGGCCTGGATTCAGTTACACTTGCCTGAATGTCCTTGGCCAGTTTCTGCCTGAGTGCTTGGTCCTTCCCATAGCACAAGAAGCTGTGCGTGTATACACTGTAGTCCTTGCCATAGAGGCGGAAGTGTAGTGCATTGTTAGGAGACTCGATATTCTTGTCTTGGGGCACAAAAGTGATTTGTGTAGAGGCTCCCCCAAGGTCCAGAGCTCCATAGGTTTCCTGAACATCGCCTCCATTTGGCTTCAGGTAGAGCCAAGTCAACTTCTGAAAGAGAGTATAATCACCAGTGGTAGAAGTCTCTGGACAACCCCTTTCTCACACTATTTCTTGGGCTCAGGGACTTTGTAAGGTGAAGGAGGAAAGTCATAAGGGTAACGCAAAGGTCACTGGAGGTTCCTGAGTCAGTCTCAGATCAACTGCAAGAAAAGAGGGGCTTCAAAGACATGACTCAGACTGCAGCAGCATAGAACCAATATAGCCAATGTTTCTGGACAAGGGGTCTTGGGCCAGAAAGGCTCGAGTTCAATAGCCATGTGACCTTGAGCAGAATAATTACTTCTTTAGGCCTCAATTTGAGGCTCTAAAATGAGAGAACAACCTCATATGGTTGTTCTGAAGATGAAATCAGACAGTACACGAAAAGTGCTTAGCACAGCACAAGACATAGAGTACTAGGCAAGTATTAGCTCTTCTTATTTTTGATGACAGATTTTTAATTTCCTCTACATCTCCCTAAAGTGAAAGTGTGACTTCCTTATTCTCCAGTAGTAAACATTCTTGTAGGAGAATATATACCTCTGTGACACTTGCAGATGTGGGAGTAAAATTAATATTCTCATTCATCCATCATTCATTCTGGCTACCTATCAGAGTACTGCCTGAGATAGTAATGGCATTGGTCCCCAGGGAGCCTCCTCCATAGGTGCTTTGAGCGAATTACCTGAGTGAATTTGCCCAACAGATAGTTGATAGTAATCCAGCCATAGGCACCTTCCTCTTGGCCACTGATGATTCTGGCACCCTGGAAGTCAAAGTGGTATCTGCTGAGGCTTTCCGTCACCATAGTCAGGACCTTGTCCGCCAACTGTTCATTTTCTATACTGCACAAAGGAAGAGCTGTGGTTACTGATTTTGTTTGTATAACTAAACTACCCATTTCACCAAGAGCTTCCAGTGAGTTCTCTTATCATGTTCTACTCACTGGAATAAACAGAGAGATGGAGATGCCCACACTTGGCTGGCTGAATAACCCTCCTTTTGGGGTGAGGCAGAACTAGTCTTTTGATCCCCTTCTACTCCCTGCTTAGTGATCTTCCTAAAGTACTATTTTCAGTGTTTTCTAGCTCCACAAAGTTACCAAAGTAATTTTAATTACTGTGGTGATGGTAGCTGGGTATTGGTTGATCACCACGCCTAGAGCTGATGTGAGCTACATTAGCCACTGCTCGTTGCTTCTAGGTGGTTACATATCCTGGCTCCGTTTGAGGTTTTTAACTGGAGCTTTCTTAGACACCAGGTGGCAAATATCCTGGGACAGATACCCAACCTCCATCGGTGCCCAACTGGGAAAATATCTTAGTCATGCTGTATCTCAGTTCTTGGGTCTGTCTGAGATCTTGGAACCTAAAGAAGGAATATTCCAGGGTTGTCATAATGAAGATGGGATGCAATTGCTTCCAAGATCTAAGCTACACAGCACTGTGAGCCTCTGGGTCAGAGGATGCTGCCTTCCAGCTATCATTAGACCCCTGTAATCTCTCATGTGAATAGTTTCCACATCCTATCTACCTAATGGCCTCTAGTCCCTAGTTTTCCTCCCCTCTAATCCACCTCTCTACCAGAGTCATCAGTTGTGTAACATCCTTTAAGGCTTCCCATTATTTCCCAGATAAACTCCAGACTCCCTAGAGTGGCCCATAGGGCACTTTGTGATCTGGACGTACCTTCTTAGAATCCACTCAGAATCCTGGCTCTACCATTTACCAGGTGTGTGACCTTGGGTGAGTAACTTAACATCGGTAAGCCACAGCTTCCTTATCCAGTTAATAATAGTTAATAATACCTCTTACTTCATAGACTTATGATTCAATTATAGCACAGTGCTAAGAACATCATAAGGGCTCAACAGATACAAGCTGTTAATATTTTTACTATATGCACCCAATATTCTATCTATTCAAAACTGTTTACAGTCCTCTGAACATGCCCTGGTCTCCAGCACATCCCTGCCCTTGCTCATCTGTTATAACACAAGCTCCAGAAAGGAAGGGACTTTGTTCTCTTCACTCCTGTATTCATAGCACTTAGAAGAGTACCTGTCACATAAGGGGTACTGAATAACATAGGTTATGGAACGTATGATGTCTGCTCTGCCTGTAACACCCTTCCCCCACCCTCCAACTCATCCCTCAGGATTCAGCTCACATGTCCCCTCCTCTGGTAAGTCTTCCTGGCCTCCTCCCATTCCAGGCAGGGCCAAGTGTGCTCCCATTAGCTTCACGAAGCACTCCTCTATTAAAGAATTGATCACCCTCTATTGAATCTGTGGTCTTCTTGAGAGCAGAGTCATCTACTTCCACGTCCCAGGACAGAGTAAGCAATCAGTACACACTGAATGAATGATTGAATGAATGAATGATGTTCACATGTACTAAGTGGTGACCAATAAAGAGGTGTTACTTGTGATTATTTGTGTCTTGCAACAGCTCTGAGTATTCTGTTCTTCCTCCTCCCAGATAATGAATGGGTATATCTGTAGCCCCATAGATGCGAATCTCAGAGACTACAGACTCAATATTACCCTCCTTGTGCCCTCAACCTCTTAAATTCCCTGTGGGGAGATTAACGACTAGTCTTTTTTTTTTTTTAAGTATTTCAATTAAACTCCCACTATTATACATACTAGGCAGTTTGGAAGTTTTACCCACTTTTTACTGAATTTTTACCGAGTTTTATAAACATTTAAGGTGTTTAAAACTCAGAGTGTTAGGGAAGTGTGGTGCTCTCCCATAACTTTAGACTCTTGCCCTGCCAAACTTAATTCTCAGCCACTCTTGGTCTTTATATGCTGCTATACCTGAGTAACCGCATGCCTGCCGTAGCTCCCAGGTAAACAGGTGTCTCTTTGTGCTTGGACTCTGGAATCACTTGTCTGGCTCTTTCCATGCATTCAGTCAAGTAAGTGCCAATGTCATTTAATTTTTGAGCATATTGTGAGATTCCAGGACCTAAAGAAAGAGGTAGAAGCAGATGACAATCTTTTTTTAAAAAGTATAGAACTCACCTTAACAATATTAAAAAATACTAGTGTTTTCTGAGAAAATGTAAGACAGTTTCTTGATGTGATATATATTAGGTTGCTTGTACTTAGAGGGTAACTCACTGAACCTAGCCTTTGTAGGATTCATTTGCAGACCTCAGGGTGGGTCTTCAATAATTTTGCCACTGGATCACATTTCACACTGGCACAATTTTCACATTTAATTGTACAAACTTCCTTTACAGGTTTTCATGGGGATCTTATAGATATTTCTCATATAGCTGCTTTTGATGTTTCTTCCACAAAGCTGTAATTAACAACATTAATTCCTAGTAGGCCTAAAAGGAGAAATATGACATTTAGAACAAAAATTTAAATATGCACCAGGCACATTAGCTTTTATAGAAAAGATAGGAACTGCAACTAACTACTTAGTTGCATGACTAGTCTCCTAACATTTCGGAAGCAGAATTTCTTCCTTTGTTAGAAGAACAGAAATAGAATCTGTATCTCCTCAGCAATTTTTCCATTCTGATATCCTGCCTCCCTAGTAAAACTGTTTCCAGTTTTAGAACAAAACTAACTGTTGCTATGGAGAGGATTAGAACCAAGATTCTTTAAGCTTTTTGAAGTTAACACAACAATTTTGGCTCACTCTAAAATAAACATCTACATTGTTACTGCTTTATAGTGAGGATTTTCTTTAAAAATTGTTATCCATAATCATTCACAGGTTTTTAAACAGCCTGTTCACTCAACAGTAATGAAAAAATCAGCTCTAAGTTTTCAGCTACTGTTTCAAATTAAAAAGTATGGCCTTTAAGAACTGGTGGCTTTAATTCACCCTTCGTCTAAATATTTGAATAGAGAACTCTTTTGAAAGGGAAAAAGTGCTGCATTTGTTAGTTCAAAAACACATGGGTCAAGTCTCAGAAGAAAGGTACCTGCTAGATTGAAAAAACAACAGTGATTTAAAAAATGGAAGGCAGTGAATTAAATAGAAGCCAGTAAGTTGAGGGATTTGGGCTTTAAGAAATGCTTGAAGTACTGTCTAAGAATTGATGGGGTCAACTTCTGAGTACATCAGGTGACTGAGTAGAATGACTTGCTCTCTCAGAAACATCTCTCTACTGCTTTCTTGACAAACTGTGGAAATTAGTGGACCCCATAGGCCACCAAAGTAAAAGCTAATGATATCCAGGGGACTAGGTTACTTGTCTGATTAATAATTAGTGGGTACTTGATTCAAAAGGAAGAGAAATAGAAGTCAGAGAGATGACAATGTGGTATGGTAACATTTGGTGCATGCTGGGGTATTGGATGGGAGAGACTGGAAAGAGTTGAACTGTTAACGATTAATTTGTTTTGTTGCTTTAAAAGAAAACTAATTAGAAAAATATCAATATGTAACAGCATCTCAGAGTAACAGGCAGCCTGGAGTTCAGTTAGCAGACCTAGATTCTTGGCCTGGTACTATTGCTGCTTGCAAGAGTTAGTCTTCTAGGTTTTTGCTTCCTTCTCTGTAAAACGAGATTTAAATGATCCATAAAGTCCTTTTCCAAGACATAAGAGCCTATGATTTGGCCTTCTCCGCCTACACACA